AATGCAGGTATTAATAGGAGGTCAAAAATATACAGGTATTAATACGAGGTTAAAATAATGCAGGCATTAATACGAGTTCAAAATAAAATGAAGAAAATGTGAGCCAGATACGTCGCATTTCACTTACGTACGTCACTAGAGACAATATTGTAAAGCAAGAGGTTAATATTATATTAAAATAAACAATCTATGTTAGTACAATCTAACTAATATTATATATATACAGTAATTTTCGTATAACTAAAATATAACACCAAGAGAAAATTTTCTAACATCTCGAAACATAGAACCTCGAATGCTCCTCCAAGTATGTAAATTAATATATCAAGAATGAAGCAACGGAAAATAATTTTCAGTCCTCAAATGAATGTTTGCAAAAAAGAAAAATTGATACGAAGTAAAAAATCATAAATAAAAAAGAGTAAATGCTGAAGTCGAGGGAAAAGAAAACTGGTTAGATTTATTCGCGCAGGAACACGGTCTCTTCCCCGAAACGGGATCCATGTTTGATTTAGTGCGCGGCGTAAGCGCGACGGAAAATGCTATGGGACCGGGAGAAATAAATGTTCTTAAGGAGCGTGCCAATAAATAACGGTTTATTAACGTACTAATACCTCGTGTGAAATTAACGGAAGGGTGGGGGCATCGAAACTCGAAGTCTTAAATGAACGCAACCGCACGCTGCGGTTCTAATTAAAACAAACACCATTAGAACTTTTCACCCGAGATTTATAATCGTTTCGTTGCTTCTTCCGCTTCACTTCCCGATGAGTTTCGTTTTCATTAATTTTCAGGATCTTAAGAAATTATATTCCGCGTTTCATGCGAAGGTTTCATGCCGTTTCATGAAACAGGAGAATCATACGAATATCAGAAGAATATCGCTGAAAACGATAGAAAATTTACCGAACAAAAATACGAATGTTAGACGCAATAATATTATAATTATATTTGAGCAGGTGCTCGTTCGTAATTGACTCGTCGCAATGGTTATCGCGTGCGAATAAACATCTCACTTAATTGGTTACGTGCTGGGAATTTTCTAATTAAGAATACGCGTGTCTATTAATGCAAGAGTGAATTTAAGCTAGAATTTATTTTTGAACGATTAGATATCTTCCAGATACACTGAATTCCATATAGAATTCCCTTACTACGAGATTCCATATGTAATTCAGTATACACACAATGTATATTACATAACACGAACTCTATAATTAATTATCTTCACCTTCAAATCCGATAAAAAATTAATTGATAACTCCCTATTAATCAAATCAAGATGTTAATTAAAAGTTTTTTCACAATTCTTTCCCATCTGTATCGAGAAGTTTAATTTATGTTACTTTCATAGCAGATAATTTTTCGTAAGCCCCATAAATCTTGACTTCCCTCGCAACGAGATTCGAAAGACGTTAGATCTTGTCGGCGGAATTAGAATATTTTTCCTGGGTTTAATGAGCAGCGAATGCGATCAACGAAGATTCTAAGGGTAGAGGGTGCAGTTGGTATACGGTATGTATCAACGTTTAGACACCCGCTGCGTGATCCTTCTAATCCGGATTTAAACTCGCGTGTGCAGGACGCACAAGGGTATCGTTGCACTTCGCTGCATCCACGTGCGTATCTCCTCTTTCGATCGTGGCTCGGTGAATTTTAGACGAATATTTGATATAAATCGCCTGTAAATTTCTTTCTTGTATACTTACTTCCAGAATCTTTCTCTTTCATCAAAGTGCAGCTAGCAGTTTTTTATTTCATCTATGATTTCAACACAGAATTTATTTATTTGCATAAAATTTATTCGTCACGATGATTTCTTTATTTTTCAGGCAACTTTCATAATTTAACACTAAATGTATCAAGGAGGTTGAATGATCTCTTTGTGACATAAATGATAGGTTCTTTATGTTAAAAAATTTGTTATGAGGATTTTCTTAGAACCTTTACTTATGCTTATCAAGATAAAGAATTAATATGTGCATTAATATGTGTATTAGTTATGTGTATGTATATGTATATTGGTTATGCATATGTGTATATATTATTATGTATATTAATATGTATATTAGTTATGCATATGTGTATGTTTATTTGTATGTATATTATTATGTATATGTGTATGTATATCAATAGGTATATTAGTTATGCATATGTGTATGTATATGTGTATGTATATTATTATGTATATGTGTATGTATATCAATAGGTATATTAGTTATGCATATGTGTATGTATATGTGTATGTATATTATTATGTATATGTGTATGTATATCAATAGGTATATTAGTTATGCATATGTGTATGTATATGTGTATGTATATTATTATGTATATGTGTATGTATATCAATAGGTATATTAGTTATGCATATGTGTATGTATATGTGTATGTATATTATTATGTATATGTGTATGTATATCAATAGGTATATTAGTTATGCATATGTGTATGTATATGTGTATGTATATTATTATGTATATGTGTATGTATATCAATAGGTATATTAGTTATGCATATGTGTATGTATATGTGTATGTATATTATTATGTTTACTAGTTAAGTATATGTATATGTATATTACAATGTATGTTAGTTGTGTACATGTACATGTATATTAATATGTATATCAGTCATGTACATGTACATGTATATTAATATATACGTATATTAATCTTTGTATCATTTATTTAATTTTCAACTACATTAATTTCATAGTAAGTTTAGATTGTTTTACTCTTAATGAATTCTGGCAATTACACCAGCAACTTTCTATTAAATTCCTCAAAAATAATCAAGAGCAGTTAGAATTAATAAAAAACTTGAAAGGGACCTAACAAAAAATGCGACGTTCTTTCTGTCGGAATAAAAGGAACGTTTTAATTACAAACTTATCAACTCGCTCCCGTAGCGAAGCACAAGTAACTCTTTTATCAATTTATCGTCGGAAGAAGTTCCTTTGAGTTATTCCTTAATTAAAAATCCAGCGTTTGTGGACTGAGGGTATTCACGGGATTAAGAGTGGCCAGTGTTCACCCTCTTGTAAACGTCCCTTCGCGAGTACTTTCTAACCTCTTCATTCTCTTCTCACCACATTTCGCACCACGCGAATACTGTTAATCGGTTTAAGAGAATCCTTCAGGGATAAACCGAATTAAGGTGTCGAATATTCGTGCACCTGTCCTTTTATTACGAGCCTTCTTGATAACTATCTTACTAAAGGGGTGCGTGTAGCAAAAATGGGAATAAGGATTACTCGAATTTCAATGCAAAGTATTGGAAGGTATTAGAGATTTGCCTTGATAATTTGCTTGGTAATCTTCTTGGATATTGGAATCTTATTTTGCTTTTGTTGCAAGGTAACACTTTAAAATTAAGTCGTTGTTCTGTAATAAGGTGATGCACTCGTGATGCACACTGTACGTACGCAGTTTGTAAATATACTATAATATATTATTTTATTACGATAGACTAGACTCGTATTTTCACTACAATTGAATTTTGGGTTCAATTCTAATAATCTGTATAATCAAAGTCCACTGATAATGTACCTAACATTTTAACTTTGTTTAACTCCATGTTATACAAATAATTAATTAGCTGCGCATGATACAACTTTTGTATTTTAGTTATGCATATGTATATGTATATGTATATTATTATGTATATTAGTTATGCATATGTGTATGTATATGTGTATGTATATTATTATGTTTACTAGTTAAGTATATGTATATGTATATTACAATGTATGTTAGTTGTGTACATGTACATGTATATTAATATGTATATCAGTCATGTACATGTACATGTATATTAATATATACGTATATTAATCTTTGTATCATTTATTTAATTTTCAACTACATTAATTTCATAGTAAGTTTAGATTGTTTTACTCTTAATGAATTCTGGCAATTACACCAGCAACTTTCTATTAAATTCCTCAAAAATAATCAAGAGCAGTTAGAATTAATAAAAAACTTGAAAGGGACCTAACAAAAAATGCGACGTTCTTTCTGTCGGAATAAAAGGAACGTTTTAATTACAAACTTATCAACTCGCTCCCGTAGCGAAGCACAAGTAACTCTTTTATCAATTTATCGTCGGAAGAAGTTCCTTTGAGTTATTCCTTAATTAAAAATCCAGCGTTTGTGGACTGAGGGTATTCACGGGATTAAGAGTGGCCAGTGTTCACCCTCTTGTAAACGTCCCTTCGCGAGTACTTTCTAACCTCTTCATTCTCTTCTCACCACATTTCGCACCACGCGAATACTGTTAATCGGTTTAAGAGAATCCTTCAGGGATAAACCGAATTAAGGTGTCGAATATTCGTGCACCTGTCCTTTTATTACGAGCCTTCTTGATAACTATCTTACTAAAGGGGTGCGTGTAGCAAAAATGGGAATAAGGATTACTCGAATTTCAATGCAAAGTATTGGAAGGTATTAGAGATTTGCCTTGATAATTTGCTTGGTAATCTTCTTGGATATTGGAATCTTATTTTGCTTTTGTTGCAAGGTAACACTTTAAAATTAAGTCGTTGTTCTGTAATAAGGTGATGCACTCGTGATGCACACTGTACGTACGCAGTTTGTAAATATACTATAATATATTATTTTATTACGATAGACTAGACTCGTATTTTCACTACAATTGAATTTTGGGTTCAATTCTAATAATCTGTATAATCAAAGTCCACTGATAATGTACCTAACATTTTAACTTTGTTTAACTCCATGTTATACAAATAATTAATTAGCTGCGCATGATACAACTGTCCAAAAAATTGTAGTCGAAAGAGGTTAAGAAATACCTATTTAATATTATGATTATATATTATACATATACATCTTATATATACCTATTTAATGTTTCAGTACTTTTTATTTACATCTTATTTTATTTTTACATTTTTAATTCGAATGTCCTGTTGTTACATCTTTACCTCATCTTTGGACTTAATGTTAAAGGAGGGTGGTAAAATAATAAACAGATAATATTGTTCATCAAAGATGATGTTTATTGTGTACTAATCGTCATCATTGACTCCGTAATTCTTAGTCCGGTAATTTATTTGGGCTAGTTAACTCCACCCCATATTTTTACCGTGGAATCACCGTGATTTCTTTGCCAGGGTAATTTTCTGCTTCGCGTTCCGCTCGAAACGATGACGCCGTTTCGCCTCGTTTGCCTTCATTGTTTTTCCATGACGTGGGCACCTGCTGACCCACGCTTCTCACGGTAATCAACCGAGGAAATCCATGTTGAATTTTCATCCAGCAAACAAACTCGTTAACCGAACTTTTCCAGAAGACTTTTCGTCGATTTTATTCTCCGTCTCCTGCAATTTCACAGATAATTAAATTTTTATCGCTGAGATAACAGTTAATTACGGGGAATATACGTCGTTAATACGTTCGGTATTAGAAATTTAATTACATTTAATTTTCGCGTTAAAACCTTCAACGCGTAGGAATAAAACAAGTCATTTCTAAAAAGATATTAATTATCTCGTAAAATGTGCCATCTGCAGCATAAAACACTTGAACCTCTCCGACCGTCTCTTAATAAAAAAGAATAAAACATTGAATAATTCATAACCAGCGTGCGCGATAATTCTGTTTCCAAAACAAGCGTTCTCTCGACGGATATGCGGGCTTCGAGGGTGAATTCACCCCCACGGGTTGCAATTGACCAACGATCGAAACCCTGACGATCGAAGTGGATAACTAGCCTTATCTAGATGACGGTAATTAGGTGTATTGTAAGGAGACTCGTTACGTGTATAGAGGTTGAAACAATTAACCCTGTCGCGTGGGAGGAACGCGTATTAAATGAAATCGAATTGCAACTCCCTGAGCGGTCTAATCGACGTGATCATATCTGAACGCGTCTTCAACCCTTGCTCGTTTGTCTCCAGACGGTAGTTGAGGTAATTGAACTTCATTGGGGTGCTGAGGAAAATTCGTTTATTCTTTTAATTTGACTTTTATTGTAATATACAATTATTGTAATTTACTATTATTCTAATTTAACAGTTATTGTAATTTAAGTTATTGTAATTTACTATTATTCTAATTTAACAGTTACTGTAATTTACACAAATATTTTGTAGTTATTCACAAATGTATTTTAAGGAGCTTGAGTGTGAATTATAGTTGAGGTGATTGAACTTCATTGGGGTGCTGAGGAAAATTCGTTTATTCTTTTAATTTAACTTTTATTGTAATATACAATTATTGTAATTTAACTCTTATTGTAATATACTATTATTCTAATTTAACAGTTATTGTAATTTACACAAATATTTTGTAGTTATTCACAAATGTATTTTAAGGAGCTTGAGTGTGAATTATAGTTGAGGTGATTGAACTTCATTGGGGTGCTGAGGAAAATTCGTTTATTCTTTTAATTTAACTTTTATTGTAATACACAATTATTGTAATTTAAGGTATTGTAATTTACTATTATTCTAATTTAACAGTTATTATAATTTACACAAATATTTTGTTATTCACGAATGTATTTTAAGGAGCTTGAATTATAGTTGAAGTGATTGAACGTTCATTGGGGTTGCTGAGGAAAATTCGTTTACTCTGGTAACTTCATTTAACAGTTATTGTAATGTACTTAACAGTTATTGCAACTTAACAATTATTGTATTTTAATAATTATATATACACAAATATTTTGTAGTTATACTAAAAATTTTACTGAGCTAAAATTTTAAAGACCTTGATTGTGAATTTCTTAATATATTTGACAAGTAAATATAAGTAAAGGTGGTTGTATCTATTGGTCAACTTTGCAGATATTGCAGTTATCGAGAGTAGATTTCCTCGAACTCCAGTTTGGACTTTTTTAATATGCACATAATTTACGGTTGCAGAGGTTCTCGAGCAGTTCGCGGGTTAGAAGCGTGACCGAGGGCGTGGCGAGGCTTAATTACTGCTTAAACGGGAGTCCTCTCCGCCTACTAAAGTATAACCCATCATAATCCTCGAGGGCTCGCTGTCGACCCATTGCCCTCCATGGTATTATAGTTACGAAGGTTCGAGCCCGGTAAAGCAGGTTAGCCACTGGTAAATTACACGTTTGTTTTAAAGACTGACCCTTGCCTCTGCACCCGTGTGCCGATACGCTCTTAATTCATCATTTCGATCTGACTCTACCTCTGTATACCTAACTTTTTTGAAACGGTTGCATTTATGGAACATCATTTTTTTGTAGTTCCTCTTCTTGTTGTCTGGAGTACAAAATATTTTAACAAAATTTAATAATAATTATAATTGTTTATTTTAGTAATATTCGTTACTTGTAATAGTATATTTACTTTCATAAAAAAACTCGGTAACAAATATAATATAAATTAGAAGAATTACCTATCTTCAGTACTTAGATAATTTAACCTAACCTCAAATTTTCTTCCACTTCTGTTTAATTTACCTATGCATTGAATTTTTAAAAATTATCTTAACATTGCCATTTTTAAAATCACTATACCATCGTCCTTTACCCAAAGTCGTCAATAATTCAACGTTGTTTATAATTACTGAATTAATAAAAATTTTCAATCAAAAAATTGAATGTTAAAGTTCATGTTCTCCATGTACCTATAAATAAATTACGATAGAGAAAAATATATATAATGAATTATGAGTTCAGTGGTAAAGAAAGTAAGGTATCCACAGGTTCCACGAAACTATAGCTAGCTCACTCGCCGATAACAAATTTATAATTCATTCAACGCTCAGACCAACAAATTACTTGCGTCAACACACGGAGCACGCCAGGCAGAAGCTGGAACAGCGACGGGGCACGGGGGTGTCGGTTCGATCATATAAATCTCACGTATTCGGCGGCGTGACGGCCTCTAACGATATATTCTGATATAATTAAAACAATAAATAAGATGGCGTCCTACCGCGAGCAACGGGGGTCGAACTCTAGCTACGTTTCTGCCCCCAACCTATATTTCTATCCTTTTCGCGACGTTCCGCTACACGATCTCGTTGCTGCTTTCCAGAAATTACTTTTGCAACCCCTGACCGATAGTTTTAACCTATCTTCAATTCTGGAGAGCTGGAATTCTATTCTTCAAAGCTGGAGTTCGTCATGGTTGCTGATTCTTTACGACAAGCTGGTATTGTGACTGTACTTCTTTTTTGTTTGTAGTATTGCTAAATTGATTGTGTAAAATAAATTTGTTACATCACTGGTTAAATTCTTTCCTGCTAATACGTTGTCAGGGATCGTAACTTGTTAAGAATTGCAGATAAAAATTTAAGAAAATCATGTTTTAGATACATGAGGTATATGTAGCATTGGCAAATTGATTGTGTAAAATAAATATGTTATATCATTGGTTAAATTCTTTCCTGTTAATACGTTGTCAGAAATTGTAAATTATTAAGAATGTAGATAAAAATTTAAGAAAATCATGTTTTAGATACATGAGGTATATGTAGCATTGGCAAATTGATTGTGTAAAATAAATATGTTATATCATTGGTTAAATTCTTTCTTGTTAATACATTGTCAGAAATTGTAAATTATTAAGAATGTAGATAAAAATTTAAGAAAATCATGTTTTAGATACATGAGGTATATGTAGCATTGCCAAATTGATTGTGTAAAATAAATTTGTTACATCACTAGTTAAATTCTTTCCTGTTGTCAGGGATCATAATTTGTTAAGAATGCAGATAAAAATTTTAGAAAATCACATTTTAGATATATAAGGTATATGTAACGTGTCAAATTCATTTTTGAAGTGAAACTGTGTTAAACTTTAAAAAGACAGCAACAAGCAGGTGTCATACAAAATGGTGGCCATCGAGCACCTTACACAAGAAACGTATTAATTATTATGTACAATGATATGATGATATATCTATAAAAATTAGAAAATCCATAAAAGACTATCTGAAGCAAACTACCAATTTTGACAGTAAATCCCTGCAACAAAATGGTGGCAATCGAGCACCTTACACAAGAAACGTATTAATTATTATTTACAATGATGTGATAATATATCTATAAAAATAAGAAAATCCATAAAATACTATCTGAAGCTACCAATTTTGAGAATAAATCCCTGCAACAAAATGGAGGCAATCGAGCACCTTACACAAGAAACGTATTAATTATTATGTACAATGATATGATGATATATCTATAAAAATAAGAAAATCCATAAAAGACTATCTGACGCAAACTACCAATTTTGACAGCAAATCCCCGCAAGCATGTTACCCAAGGGTCATCCAACCTAATCTAACCTAACCACTACCTCTTCCTAAAATAAAAAGCAAAACAGAAAAAAGACAACGGCAGATGTAACACGCGAACGCGTGTAGGGGCAGTAACAGGCTCCGTGTTCATTGAGTTTCAACCCCTTCGAGCTCCTTTTTCTTCCTGTTGCCGAGTCCCATTATTTTTCCAAGGAACCAGGCGGCGTCTGGGCGCGCGTCCACTGGAATGTCTGGTATTCCTGTTGGCTATCGAGCCACGGCGAAACAGTTGTCCTCTCGGTATCTCGTGTAAAACGCGCGAATCGTGCGTCTTTTATCGTTCGATACGGTGGAAGCTTGTCTAAGACATTTTTCTGTTAGCTATCGACTGTCGGTGCAAGTATGGAGTTACGGAAAGAAGATTTTTGGGATTTATCCAGGGAACGGACGATACTTTAGCTGTTCAGCACACGCGACCATGAAGATTCCTATCGGGTCATGATAAATTACTGTCCCTACATGGGACCCTTCGCCCCCTCGATCCAACAGTTCCTGCTCTTTCGTGTCCAGCGCCCTCCTGCACCCGGTTTCACCTTAATATTAATTTGCCCCTCCATTCACCATTTTTATTACTCGCATATCTTACTGCCAACTTATACTGTTGATCCGTTCAGGAGGAGGTGGTTCATAGGAGGAGGGATATTGAAAATTTCAACTTTGATCTGCAGTTTATTTTTTGTGCGATGTGAGGATACTGAGGATGCTGGAAATCAGAGTAGAGTTGGAATTTTTTGACTGATTAATTATTTTGGAGTCGTGGGACTTTGGAATAAGGATTTATAAATTTCAAAATTTCTGTATATCTACATAGTTACATATATTCATAAATACTTATATTTGTTGATACCTATACACCTAGAATTCTATGTAGGTAGATCTACATTTGGATTTCCACTTCCTAGGATTCCCATATCTCCATATTCTTAGATCTTCAGATTCCTAAACCTCTAAATTCCTATATCAAATAAATCCATAGATTTCAATATTCCAATATTCCTACATTTTTACATCCCTAAAGAAGCTACTTAAACATATCCAAACAAAAATA